GGGGGGGTTATAAAAGACGCATGGCTTCCTTATCCATACAGATAGTTCAATCCTGTTTTCTTTTTCTGAAACAGAAAAAGCAAGCAATAAAAAGCATACTGTAAAATATGCAAATTCGTGTTTATGACTTGTGTATGAGGGTTCGAAATTTTGCTGCGATATTGCCTTTGCTCTGCTGCTGATGGTCGGGCAAATGCGTCCTCTGTGTCCTTAAAGAGTTACAAATAGAGTAAAGCAAAGTTGCCGAACGCACGGTGTCCTGTTTCAACTGATGCGTGTATCCCTTTGCTGATTGATCTGGCCCAGTCCCAGTTGCTCCTCCCCTCTCCCTTTTTGCGCTCCAATCAGAACAGTTTATCTCAGGTGCTTTACTGTACACCTCGGGGTTATCACTAAAACGATTGTTTTTAGTTTTTGTAAGAGTTTTACGGCAATTGCAACACAGTAAAGTCACATGAGTGCCTCATATTAGAGGTGTTACAAGAAACTAACAAGACCAAAAAAAGGTGTGTGGGGGGGGGGGAGATAAGAACCATAGGCTTTTGATAGAAAAGAAGGGGCAAGCCACTCTAGAGCACCTGTCAACCCCCCACTAAAAATGTTGAACTCTAGCATTTCCTACTAAAGTTCCAAAACATACCGACCAAGTCATGAACCTCGTTTATAAACAAAACACGACTATAGCGCATCCCCGCCTCCCTTCAGGGTAGAGGTAGCCGCCTAACAATCTGAAGTCTGCTCGTGTGTTTTTGTTTTTTGATCGTAGACCTCTTTTGAGAATTTTTCTTTTTAAGTCCACCAAAAAGTTACCCCCCAAAAAAAACAACACAAAAACAACAACAGTTAAAAAGTACATAAACAGTTCAATGTTTTTCTTATCAGCAAAGATCGGCATTGGCGAGACAGGCGAGAGGACAAATCGACAGAGGTTGTATAGGTGCAATAAATGCAAACATTTCAAAATACAATAATTAGATAATGCCTTTGTTACTTCCATTCTTTTTGCAAAACTGTTTGCACTCCCTTTCATAGCTTGAGTTTTACATTTTTCTTTCCTGTTATAGCGGGTGCCAGGAGGGCGTCACTTGTAGGTCCTGTCCTACTTCTTAACACTCAATCTGTTGTTTCTATCCGACTGTCTTACTTTTTTCCAGCACTAAAAGTAAAAGGCCATTATTAGGTCGATGTGCTTCTCTTTTCTCAAACAAACGAACAAACAAACAAATTCCTGTTACACGCTTTTTTTCTCCAACGTAAGCATGTTCTCGGAGTCATCAGCTGTTGTTGTCGGCCAGTAGAGTGTTCTAGCAGACAGCTTAAACACATCCTGGGGTCAGACAGACGTTCCCAACCTGACACGATGCCTTCATTTGGAGGAAGGGGGGAGGGGCAAAATCGATGACCCAGACAGTCAGGTAGTAAAACCGAGTACCGTATTGATCGTGTGGACAACACAGGCACAGCGTGCTACCAGGTTCGAGAGAAAAAGGTTACTATACTATACCGGATTGAAACCAGATACATGTATATCACCTGCTGAGTTATATCTTCTACAACCTCAGTTGTCCGATTTTGGAAGTACATTGAATTTGCCAGTTGTCAAGACTGATGAAAAATATTCAATTTGAACCAAACATTATTACGTTTGATGCCTGTGTTTCGAGGAACTTCAGGTTCATTTTGTACAAGCTCATGATCTCACGACTGTTTGTTTGTTTGAGTAAAAAGAAGCACACTAACACAATAATGGTCATTTAGAGCTGGGAAAAGGTAAGACGAAGATAATCAAGTAAAAGTTAGAAGCCGGACCTACCAGTGGCGCCCTCCAACCACTCGCTTTTCGCGACTGGAATTCGGTGCTCCCAAACAGATTACCGTACAGAAAAACCGAGAAAGTAGACATATTTAGTTTCAGTAAGTGTTTTACCGCACTTGCAACACAAGAAGGTCATATAAGTGCCGAACGTTTGAGGTGTAATAGGAAAGTAACAAACAGAAAAAGGAAGGAGAGGACGATATAATATGTTTGATAGGAAAGAAGGAGCAAACCACACCAGAACAACCGAGAAACCACTCACAAAAGGGGAGAAAGTACAAGATAGCATGACACAAAGCTTCCCAAATTAAGATTGTAGGTATAGCTTGACCGTGGACACACGCTGTAATAGTTTGTAATGGGCCTTCACTGTAGACAGGATAACATGAACCGACACCAAGGCCACGGGACAAGTGACACTACTGTAGATGTGGGTCGGTAGGGATAATGTCTGTGCTGTTTAGAGCTGGCACCATCAAATGTACAATCAATTTTCTACGTCATAAGTGTTCCTTGGCAACCCCCCCAAAAAAACAACAACAACAACAAAACCCAACCCCCCTCCCCCCCAACCAAAAACAAAAACAAAACAAAAAAAAAAAAGGGGGGAGGGACAGCTTTGTGATATATATTATTATGTATTGGACATCAGCAGACAAATACTCTTTCTCACTGGCTCATTGAGTATCGATCTAAGATCCAACATAACCTTGTTGAATAAGCGACCAGAGGGAAACAATTAGATGTGACTTACAACACATACCCATAACACAAAGGAAACTATCAGTCTAGCAATGAATTTT